CTTTGCGAGCAGGAACCTGGGAGGCAACAAGATCAATGGCAGCATTCCTGAGAGCATGACCAACTTAAAGAAGCTTGAGTTCTTGTACGCCTGTACATAGGAGATGGCTTCACACACTTTACAGACACTGTATTGTGCTTTCAACCTAACCCCCCTCTCTCACACACACGCACCCACATCCCATCCCCCACCCTCCCATCTCCCTTCCCCACCTCCCCCCTTCCCCTCATCCCCATCCCCCACACACATGCCCCGCCCATGCCACGCCCACCTTCACCGCACCCCATGCCCCCTTGCACGCATGCAAACATGTGCGTGTGTCTTCCGTCTTGTGTAGACACCTCTGAAAGTTGCACCCACCTCTGCTCCCACTTCTCCCACTGCTCCTTCTGCTCCTCTTCTTCCTCGCCCTCCCGGACGCTCCCATATTTTCTGCTCCATTTCATTCGGCAAAGAGGAACATTGATCCGCCCGCACTAGACGCGCACTCTGCTTCATCTCCTTTGTCCACATTTCCCACACGCTCAAATTTGGCCCCTTTCTCTCCTTGTGCCACACCCTGCTGCTACAGCTCAATGGCGTTTGGCAATATGAACGTCGATCTGCTAGACTTCATGTCTGAGCTCATGTCGCTCACAAACATTTACGGAAAGGAACTATCCCTTGTTTTCTATTATATCAGCCTTTTTCAGCCAACCATCTACTGAACGTTTCGTTACAGGGGGAACATATGGTTGGATGGTGTTAAACGTCTTTCATTTCAGTTAACCCAGTAAAATCTCCATGGATTTGCAGTCGAATCATGACATTGGTATATGGAATTGCTTTGCTGTAAAAAACAAAGAGTTGTGGATCTGTGTCTTCCTTCATTTCCCTCTTCCATTCGCTTGTCTACTCTGCTCTCCTCTCCTCCCCTCCTCTCCTCCTATCCCTTCCTCCCCTCTCTAGGCATGGAATGCAGCAAATATGCATGTTCTCCCTTCCCCTGTTGTCAATATTCTCTCACCCCAACCCTGACAGTGCCTCGTCCCCTCTGCCCCACCCCTCAACGTAAGCTGCTGCTCTCTGCCCCTACTGTCTCACCGTTCGTGCACCACCTCCCCCAGTGCACTCCGCAGCAACTCATTCACAGGGACCATCCCGAGTGGCCTGGGTGCCCTCTCCCACCTCCAGCGACTGTGAGTCTGAGCTATGTGTGGCCTGATCGAGCCAGTGAAGGTGTGGTGAGGTCATTCATTGCGCAGCATTTACCCATCATGCTAACTCTCGTAATGCCATACCACATAAACTAGATAACACCGAGCGAGCTTGCACAAGGGTTTCAGTTTGTGAGAAGAACGACAGCTGAACCTATAGAGGCATGCGCCAGAAAGCTGGAAGTACAACAATCGAAGACAAGGAAAAGGCAAACAAGCAGAGCGAGATAGCCTGTAATAAAACACATTAGATGGCAGAGAGAAGGCCTAGATGCCTCTTCAGTCACCAGTGGCTTTTCTGGGGATCATACTTTATGATAGGATTGCTGTCGCCCCCTGTGTGTGTCCATGTGCGTGGATAACTGCAGGGAGCTGAGCTACAATCAGTTCAATGGCACTGTGCCTCCATAGGAGACCTGCGCAACCTCACAGAGCTGTACGCGCCTGTCCCTGCCTGCCAGTACCTAAATGCATTTTTTTGTTGATCGCTGTTCCGATTGAAGAAATTTAATATAGTTTTTTTCTGGAATTATGTTCTCCAGCATCATTGGAGCTGTACATATGATGAACATGCGTAAATTTTACACTTCGCATATGAATTGCTGACGCTAAAGATGCGTCGGAAGGAAGTAACTTGTGCGGTCTCACTGTGTGGTGTGGTTGGGGGGTTGTTACCCCATGTCATGCATACATGTGCACACGTGTTCCGTGAATGGAGCGCATCAGGTGGCTGCGAGACGAAAATCTCAATGGCACCATCCCCAGCTCTCTTGGCCAGCTCACCAACCTCCTTGCCCTGTGGGTGTCTTGTACCAACCTCTGCAATGGTATCGCTTATTCAGGAATTACTGCATAAGCAGAAACCGCTGCCATTCCTTCCTACATTCCTCTTCTGAATTTTACATTTGAAAAGAGCTCATGCATGCCCAAACACCACTTGCTGTCCTTTGTGTTGCTGCCAGGGAGGTGAAGCACAATGATATGAACGGCACCATTCCCACTTCCCTCGTCAACCTCACCAGCCTCACCAGACTGTAAGTGCCTTGAATCCCTTGACCCTAAATTTAAAAATCAATAAAAATTCTGTATCTTTATTTTGGTTGATTTCTGGCTTCCAGTGCTGGGCTCTTAAATTCATAGTTACACAGTATCTGCCTCATTGCAATGAATGAAGATGGTGGTTTAACTTTCTTCTGACTCTACCACTTTGATGTTCACAGGGATATGAGCTCCAACGGGCTCACAGGCCCACTTCTCTCTAACTTTGGGAGGCTAATCAATCTCAAAATCTTGTAAGCGGAATTTGTGTGGCTTGATCTCGTTTGAAACTTGCTAAAAGACAGTCTCCTGTTTTTTACCATCTCAAACCCATAGACTATTCCCTTATGTCATGACAGATGTACTCCTCCCTCTTCACTTTTATGTTTGTCTTTCCCTACTTAGTCTTCCCTCAGGTCTCCCTCGGGGATGTCAAGTCAGCCACAGCTCTGCTCGTCGAGTGTAGCGGCAACCTCCTCATCTCCTCCTGCTTCCTCAAGGCTACATTGTTTCTCACAGTTTTTTTTCCTCCTTCACACCTGCTCTCCTCAAGGATGTGAGCGACTGCCAGTTCTCAGGGTACCTCCCAGAGAGCATTGGGAGGCTCACCAACCTGTCAGCCTTGTGAGTGCTACATATGCAACTTGCTTTTACGATAATGAAAGAAAGTGCAAGCATGGGGAGAACACACACATGAAGAACACAACAAGGGCGATCCAACCGGTGCCTGCCTGGCTTGCTACCACCGCTCTCAACACGTGAAGCCTTAAGAAGCATGGTTCGACTTTGATTAGAGGCATAGAGCGGCCTTGCAGCTTCATTTCTCTGAATGAGCCTTGCCCTAACTCCCCCGTTTCCTCTGCCTTCTCCCCGCCCTTCTAATCTCTGGCCTGTCTTGTGCACACCAGGTGGGTGGCCACCAATGGATTCAACGGCTCTGTGCCCGACTCATGGAGCCGCCTCACCCGGCTGCGTGCCTTGTAATTGCCTCTCTCACTGCTCCTGCACCCGCTGCTCAGCAGCACTGTGAGTGCAGCTGTGCGCCTTGTGTGTACTGCTGCCTCGAGCACTACTGCTCCCAGTGTTGCTGCCCCTCACTCACTCACTCACTGGTATACGGGTCTGGGTGCTTCTCGCGATTTGGTTGTGTGTGTGAAGGCTTGGGCTGTGAATGCTGCACCTTACACGACTCACAGTTCTCTTCTCCCTCACACAGCTCCTACTTAATTGGCTCAACATGCACCTCGCTCGTCCCCCTCCGCTCCTCGCCCCCTCTGCTCCTTTTCCCCTGCCCTCCCTCCCTGCTCCGCCCAGTGGCATGTCAAACCTTGTCCTCTCTGGCACGCTCCCAGTCACCCTTTTCGACCTCAAGGGCCTCACGGAACTGTGAGTTGCTCATCAGTGTGCTGAGTATTCTTGCTAAACCTTCAGTTCACCCTAGATTCGTCCGTTTTCTGGCCAAATAAAATGTGCTGGTTGTGTGACCATTAAATTCATTGTGGTTCCTAGATTTTACCATAGGATGGAACCAAGGTTGAGTGTTTTTTAATAATCGGGCCTGATAAACTGCAATGTCGGAGATGTGTTTCCTAACCTTCGTTTTCCACATTGCTCAATCGTGTCAAACAATGCATGCACTTCAAGAACAACCTTCTTCACAGCTCCATTCCTACAGCCCTCTTTCAGCTAACCAACCTCACTACTGTGTATGTCTGCTTGATTTTTTTTCCTGTCTCCTTAACCCCTATTACTTAGCAGCGTGGTTGAAAGCTTTTCTAACAGCATCTTGAAACATTTTATGTAGCAGAGATCATTCTCGATGCCATTGGTTGTCATCCACCTTGTTATTACTCGGCCACCTTGCTCTTTGCCCTTTTCTCTTCGTTCATGCTGACTCTCACAGGGAATTCAACAATGCATTTTTTTTGGGCCCTATTCCGTCTGAAATCAGCAATCTGGTGCATCTGAAGCTTCTGTAAGCTGGGCAGCTCATGTTCCAGACACGCACACATACACACACACACACATACCCACGCACGCACGCACGCACGTACACACACACATGCATGTGCATGCACACACACACACACACGCACGCACGCACATGCACACACATAAGGACACACACATACACACTAGGGATGAGCAGGGGGCGAACTCGAACATGTTCGGGTTCGCCTCCTCACGAACATCGACTTCTACCGAACCGAATACTGTTCGGTTCGGCGAACGAATTGGGCGAAAATTGGTGTTCGCCGTTCGCCCTAGGAGGCGAACGAATTGCTGCAGCAGGCGAACACGAACACGTTTGAGGCGAACATGTTCATGTTCGCCCAGGGGGATATTCGATATAGTCAAACAGACCAGAAAGCGATTTTGAAGGTTCAGGATGATAGCAAAGGGTTTGCAGGGTGTATATGTGTGCATGCAACGAACCCAGTACTACAACATCATGTTCTGTGAAGGGAAATGTCAATGTCAAACAAATTCCTACGCCAAGGCGCCAGTGCTACTACCAACAACAGCATCCTCTCCACCAGCTGTGTCGTCAGCCTCCACACCCTCCTCCTCCTCCTCGTCCTCTTCCGCCCCCTCGCCCTCAATGGCAAACTCTGGTGATGAAGTTCTTCTGCGCGCAGTTGCGGTTTAGCAGGATCAATAGCTCCCGAAACTGGAGGGGGGTAGAGTAGAGGGAGAGAATTTTCGACGTCAAGGGGATGATTTTGAGACAAAGTGGCACACGATTACAATAGAAACACCAAATAGTCAGCCACATACTGCCAAATCCCCTTCATACAGCAGGCATGGGACACTCACAGCCTCGGCCTCGACGACGCGGAAGGGGAGGTCGCAAGTGACCACCAGCTTGGCGATCGACTGCCGTAGCTCCACCGTGGATAGCTTGGTTGTCATGAACCGCCCCATCCCGCCTGACCCCTGAGCTCCACCGGACGCCTTCCCTTTCTTCTTGGCGAGATGCGGCCAAGACTTGGCATGCGGCCACCGATCGACGTAGCTATCCGATGCACACCGTTGTATCCCCCACGAGGAAACGTCTCCCCAGGAAGTGAACGGACGGAGTGTGGTAACGGTAATGCCACACATGCATGTGTGCTGTGTGGAAGCTCTCGAAGTGCCGCTTCCCGGGTGTTGTTGTGGATTGCTTCCACGAAATCCTGTTAGTGCAAATCTTGCACTGACGCTTCTCGTCTGACCCTTTAGGCCCGAACATCTGTACTTGCCACCCTGGTTTCTTATTACCCTTGCCAATCCCCTTACTACTCTCGGACCCTCTGTCCTCGTCTAGGAACTCTGGAGCGATCACACCCTCGCCCAAGGGCTCCCTAGTGAATGTGCAGGGATACCCTCGCACCCTCAACTTGTTCGCCCTCTTCCTCTGCTTCGGCCCTGCAATGGACGCAAGCTTTCTTCCCACCTTAACCCCCACGCTCCCTCCTCCTTCACCCATATGCTGTGAGGCAGCCTCTGTCGCCGCCCCTCCACCAACCTCTCCCACCTCCTCCTCCACCTCCTCTGGCTCCAACCCATCCATCTCATGGTCCTCATCATCATCCCCCCCTTCCCCACCGCCATGCGTCTTGGGATCCCACCCGGCCTCACTGTCATCCCCGCTCCCCTCATCGTCCTCATCCTCCTCGCCCTCACCCTCCTCCTCCTCATCCTCCTCCTCAATGCCACTCTCCGACTGCGTCTGCCCAGAAGGAGGGGGCCGCGGGCCGTCGTAACGGAACGAGTGACGAGACGTCGGCGCCGCTACGGAAAGAAACCCCCAGACGAAACAAGCGCCCGGCTCCTGCAGGTCCATCCCCTACTCGCCCCTACATAGGTCGTGGTGGAGAACCTGGTGTACCGCCCTGAGCGCTGCCTGCACCTCGTTCTACAGATCCATGTTGGCCGGAAGCCATAACTCCGCCCTCGGCCCTAAAACCCTAAAACCCCAAAGTAACGGTCGCAAGCCACGGATAGCACGGTCCTATTTGAACTCCTAGTTATGTGTGGCACGGAGAAATGCCCGCCCCTAAAACTAGAGAATTTACCGCTACAAGCTTGATCCCGTAGCTACCAACCCTTAGTGTTTCTGAAATTACCCTACACTAGTAACTAGTTAGATGAAATGTCTGTGTAAAAGTTAAGGAACGGTGTGCGATGGCTCTTAAAACCGCAAGGCTATGGTGGTTGGCGGTTGTGGGAAGGAGTGCTAAGCGCCAAAGTCGTTTTGAGTTTGAGCTCAGACCTAAATTTGGTCGCGGTCAATTTTGACGCGAACAGTTTGGTGTTCACCGGCCCCCCAAATCGAACACGAACGTGTTCGTGTTCGTCTTCCCGCGGCCAAATGTCATTGGCAAACGGCGAACATGTTCAGCCGAATACCGAACATGTTCGCCCCGAACGAATTAGGCAAAAAAAAATGCCTGTTGGGTTCGCCTCGAACATGTTCGAGGCGAACCGAACAGGCGCTCGTGAATTTGCTCAACCCTAACACACACAATGACACGTGAAGGTGCACGCACATGCGCACGCACTCACATGCATGCACACACGTGGATGGATGCATTCACGCATGCATGCACACACACGCGTACACAGAGACAGCCACGCGCATACGCATGCATATACACACACCCTCTCTTGGTGCAGGTGATGTAGATTTACATAGATTCGATCGAATGTTGAAGAAATCTCAACACACCATACACACGTGCCCGTACAGGCATAAAAACACACCACATGCACCAAGGCATGCACATGCACACACGCACCCAATGTTACTCACACATGACACTTTGATCTGTATTGAATATCAGCATACCAGCATCTGTATTGGTTACCAACACGCCCCTGTGTCTTTCATGCAGTGCTGCCAGCAAGAACCAGCTCAACGGGACTGTGCCAGAGACCATCACGCAACTCAAGAACCTCACGTCATTGTGAGTGCATTGTGGATTTCCTCCCAACCGTCTTCTTCATTGTGTTCGCAACTTGACATCCACCCAGATGCATAAATCTTGAAATCTACCACCCGAAGGGCCATGGTGGTGCTTTGGTTCGCCTCAATTTTACTTCGCCTTGATTATAATACCTCATTCATGTTTAGAAGTAGAAGTCAAGAACCACCACGATGCGCCTCGTTTACCACCATCTCGTGTGACTTTGACTCGCTGATAACATGGATATGCCATGCGATGTCTGCTTGTGCCGCGATCACCACTTAACACCACAATGATTGATCGGCACTGGCAGGGAACTGAGTGACAGCTGCTTCAATGGCCCGGTCCCCTTGGGGCTTGATACACTGACTGCCTTGATCAATCTGTAAGCACTTAAATGAACATCCCACTTTCGAAACACAAACAACACGTTTCTCATCTCATTACACCTACCCCCACTTTAGACTAACAAAGGAAAGGCATAAGCAGTGATTAGATATAAAAGCCATCTCTTTTTGTTCTTCACAAAGGTTTTTTCCTTCAGTTTCTGTTATATCTTCACTTGTGTACTCATCCATTGTGTCCCTATTCCGTGTCTTTGTGCGTCTATGTGTGTGTGTGTGTATGTGTGTGTGTGTGTGTGTGTGTGTGTCTGTGTCACAGCAAGCTCGGCAACAACAGCTTCTCGGGCAACGTACCTGCTGAGCTGGGCCAGTGCTCTGCGCTCAAGCACCTGTGAGCAGCACCCCATGGCCTTCATATCTTCCTTCTCTACCTGTATTCCAGAGCCTGTAGGCACTAAACCGCCCGAGATTTCAAAATTTCCAGCCATGTCCTTTGCCACCTCACCATGTCCTCCCACTGTGTCTTCCCTCATGCCTTTCCGTCCCCACAAATTTCCACTTTGCCAAAATGACAAAATTTCTTGTTGCAGAAACCTCAGCAGCAACTATGTGATGGGATCCTTTCCTGGAAGTCTCTCAAGCCTTTCCAGCCTTACCACCCTGTGAGTGCGCGTGAAGAGAGAAACAACGAGAAGCGTAGAGAAGCAGAGACCGGCAGTCATGGCAAGCCGTTTCAGCTCTATAGAGGCCATCACCTCTAGGAAGTGCTCCATTTGAGTACATTGAACTGAATACCCGCCTTTAAGGGGGGTTACTTCATCCATATGGATCAGGCTTTAAGGGGGAAGGTTTAGAGAACGGGTGTTTATTCATCCGACAACGTGTCAAGAACCTAGCTGATTGTTCAATTCGTTCCACACAGAGGCTACTCTGTGGTGTGGATCTTAATAAGCTGTCTTACCAGAATCACCACCCTCAACCACTATCTACCCCATGACCGCTGCAGGGACTTGAGTAACAACTCCCTGTCAGGCTCTCTGTCTCCAGGCATCAGCTCCCTCAGCGCCCTCACCATCCTGTCAGTCCCCTTGTTCAACACTGTGTCTCTCATAGCTTCACCTTCTTTTCTCTGTGCTGTACTTTTGAGAGGGGTCTTGGAGAAGAGTCGTACCTAGGGCACTCATTGAATGCCATGTTACTGAGCCTTGATGTGCTGCATGTATCTTCTTTGCTTCCATGGCGCGACATCACATCGCATGGCATGGAATGCATTGGTTGGCATGAAGTGGGACTAGAATCACATAATTTTTATTGGCTTGATGTGATGGGGAACGGCATGCGGTATGCAATGTTGCTTGTGCCATGCCATGTCGTGTTGTGCTGATCGGTTGGGAACAAACGTACACAGGTATCTGCACAGCAACCAATTTGAGGGATCGCTACCCACACTTCCAGGCAACGTTACAACAGTGTATGGCAGATGTCTTCATGGAAGCTCACATGCCTCAAATTCTTTCTACAATCACGTCTTAGTTCAAGAGATAAAATCTCTTTGTTCTCAATGCATCACAAACGCCCTTCCGAGTTTATTTCGCAATCCGTATGTCTCCAAACATGGCCGCATCCAGATGTTGTTTCTCTTACTGTGGTTGGGATCCAAATCTTGTTTAGTCCGTTGCATTACCTTACATTACAATTTGTGGTTCCTTTGTAGCGCATTATATAGAGACTCACGTCTTCGTACTCTAACCTCATCTAATTTAACCTCTCTTTGTCCCATGCCCTGTGTGCCCTGTTCCCCGTGCCCTGTTCCCTGCGCCCTGCGCCCTGTGCCCTGTGCCTCTTGCCCTGTGCCCTGCGCCCTGTGCCCTGTGCCTCTTGCTCTGTGCCCTGCGCCCTGTGCCCTGTGCCTCTTGCCCTGTGCCCTGCGCCCTGTGCAAACAAGCAGTGACCTCAGCAGCAGTGGCTTCACAGGGGGGCTGCCGCCCAACATTGCCCAGCTCAGCAGCCTTGCCTCGTTGTGAGAACTCTGATACAAGAACCCAGATATGACACAAGCTCTTATATATGACACAAGCTCTCATATATGACACAAGCACTCAGATATGAAGCAAGCGCTCGGATATGAATGACACAAGCACTCAGATATGAAACATGCACTCAGATTTGGCACAAGCACTCAGATTTGGCACAAGCACTCAGATATGGCACAAGCACTCAGATATGACACATGCACTCACATTATACATAAGCACTCAGATTTGGCACAAGCACTCAGATTTGGCACAAGCACTCAAATTTGGCACACGCACTCAGATATGACACAAGCACTCAGATTTGGCACGAGCACTCAGATATGGCACAAGCACTCAGATGTGACATATGCACTCAGATTTGGCGGAAGCACTCAGATATGATACAAGCACTCAGATATGACACATGCACTCTGTTTTGGCACAAGCACTCAGATTTGGCACAAGCACTCAAATATGACACAAGCACTCAGATATGACACAAGCACTCAGTTATGACACAATTACTCAGATATGAGTCATATGACACAAGCGCTCAGATATGACACAAACACGACAGCAAAAAACGGTTCTGACTGCTGCTATTCTCCCTTTAATTTATCTCACAATGAGTCAGTGGCTATGATAGCGAACTTTAACAGTTCAAATAATTTCCCTCCCTCTCTACGATTTCCCTCCATCTCGAAAACTTCCTCCGCACCTCTCTAATCCCTCCCTCATCTGCACTGCAGGAACGTGAGCAGCAACAGGCTCTCGGGCACTCTGCCTTCAGATCTAGGAAGTCTTGTGGCCCTCACATCCCTGTACGTCATCAGTCTATCCTCCTGTGAATGCCCAAATGACTTGGCTACCTGCCTGCACGTATTGCCAACATGTCGTTTTTCTCCCATACCTCCTTCTTTCCTTGACACCTCATCCATAACTCATCGTCTCTTACCTACCCTCTCCCATGTCTCCTCCCCTCCCATACCTCCACTCAATCCTTCTCCTTTCATCCCTCCCTCACCACCGCTCCTGTGAGCAGCAACACGAGTGCCAACCTGTTCTCAGGAGACATTCCGCGATCTCTTAAATCCCTTACGAACCTTTACTCTTTGTGAGTCCGTGTAACATCTATCTTCATCTGAATTCCAAGTCTTGATGTGTCGTCAGCTGAATGCTAGGCCTCCTTTCAGCTTTTCCTTGCTTTGTGCCTGTTGGCACAACATGCATGTTTGCCAAGACTTGTTTTTACCCACTTTTCAGGAACCCCCAAAGCTCACCCTCTTTTGAAAATCCACATGGCACATTGGCATTGGATTGGCAGGGACTTGGGTGGCAACTCTCTTAGTGGCAGCATTCCAGACTTCCTGAGCGTTCTCTTGCAGCTGCAGAGGCTGTGAGTGGGTTGCGTTTCTGCTGATTGAATTTGACTGTTCTACGCATGTGAGCAATCGGGACTTGCATTTTGTTTTAAGCAATGTTTTCTCATGTACCCCACCAGTCTATTTTTCATAACCT